CATTTTATTTATGGTTTCCTTTGCTATGCAAAAGCTTTTAAAAGCTTTTAAGTTTAATTAGGTCTCATTTCTTTCTTTTTATTTCCATTACTCTAGGAGACAGATCTAAAAAGATATTACTACAATTCATGTTGAATTTCACATCTGAATCTATAGATTGAATAAAACAAATTCCTCCTTTTTTTTGGATGGGTCTCATCCAGTCAGTTGCAGGCCTGAACAGGACAAAAGGCTGACCCTCCCCTGAGTAAGAGGGAATTCCTCCTGCCTGACTGCCTTCAACCTGAGCTATCAATTTTTTCTTGCCTTCCAACTTAAACTGAAACAGCAGTTTTTCCTGATCTCAAGCTTGCCAGTTTTTGGACTGGAACTACACCATCAGACCTCTTGGGTCTCTTGCTTTTTGATTGCGGATCTTGGGACTTGTCAGCCTCCATGATCACATGAGCCAATTCCTTTAATAAATATTCTTATATATGTATGTGTGCACATGTGCACGCACACACACACATACTCTATTGATTCTGCTTCTCTGGAGAACCCTTACTGATACAGTTGTTGTATGCGCCTATATTTTTGCTTTTTCTCTGTTTAATTTTTATTGAAGTATAATTGCTTTACAATGTTTATTTCTGCTTTTTCAATTGTTTCTCCCTTCCTGAAGGGAAGAAAGGTTTATTCTTTTATCATGTCCTTTCTATTTGAAAAACTTCCTTTGGTTGACCTTTAAGGGTAAACCTGCTAATGATAAATTCCTTTGTCTCTTACAAAACTTATCACATGTGGTAACAGAAACTGACTCTCAGGCAGTATGGGGTACCTCCTTCCCTGAAGTTCCATCTAGATGTGGAGTCAGGAACAGAGGGTGCTTACAGGATTACATAGTGCCAAGGCTCAGATAGGAGAGTTTATGGCCTGGTTGTCACTTCTGCACACAGGCATCTGCTGAGAGATTTTTCTTCCTGTCTGATATTTATCTTCTGGCACTGTGAGGGTGTTCCCTTGTTAACAACTATGAGGGACCTTCAGGCAGGCCTGCACTTTGCTCATGGCACACGGGAAACGTTCTCCTGCCACGACTCCAATTCCAGACGCTGGAAAAGCTGCTTCCTCGCTCCTCTCAGAAGCTCCTCTGTGGTCTTCAGGCTCATCCAGCAGCCTCTGGGCTCACTTAGCTCACAGGCAGTCAGAAGACTGCTTCAGGTCCATCTGCTTGCCTTGCTAGGGACCAGGAACACCAGTCTTTGTCGACCGTTCAAAAGGGATAGAAGCCTGCAACTGTTCTGTCCAAAACCAAGTGTTATCTGTGGTTCTCTGTTATTTCCACCTCTCCTTGGTTCTGGAAGGGGAAAGGCATAGGGATCGTTCTCACACAGAGGACGTTATTTAAGCTCTTTTTGCTTCCCCTCTAATTCTTCCTTCTGTAGCCCAGAGTGTTCTAAAATAGTTTTAGGTATGTTCTAAGCATCTTCCTATTCTTCCAAAAGGAACACACTAAATTTAGTGAAAGAACTGCCAGTGGTTGAGGGTCAGTCCCCTCTTATTCAGAAAACTGCCTCAAGTCCCAACTGCCACCCCGTGCACCCCACACCTAACCTGCCAACCCCAAAACCATAACAAGACCAACAGAGAGAAGAGGACGTTCCCTCTGAAGTTAACAGTTGTTGGAAGGCTATGTCTCCAACTCTCCTCTGGGGAGGAGATGTGCTTCTGTTTCCCTCCCTGTGTTAATCTGCTCGGGCTGTTGTAACAACGTACCGCGGACTGGGTGGCTTAACAATACAGATTTGTCATCTCACAGTCCTGGAGGCCAGGAGTCCAAAACGAAGGTACTGCAGGATGGGGTCTTGCTGACGGAAGGGTCAGTTCCAGGCCTCTCCCCTTAGTCTGAAGATGGTTCCCTTCTCCCTGAGTTTTCACATCATCTTCCCTATGTGTGCACCTTTCAACCCAGATTTCCCCTTTTTATAAGGACACCGGTCACGCTGGATTAGAGTCAACACTAATGACCTTGTTTTAATTTAATTTCCTTCGTAAAGATTTCTGTCTCCAAACAAGGTCACATCCTGAAGTACTGGGGATTAGGACTCCAGTCTACCTTTTCTCTTTGAGGGCTAAGTGTAAGTCCCTAGAGCCAAGTGATAAACGCAAAGGGGAGCTTGGCGTTTTGTTCCCTGATGAACTTGCCAGTCTCCCCGGTGCTGCCTGAGCAGGTAAGAGACGCGGAGGGAAGCCCCCCGCCTCCATCTACTCCACCTCCACCTGCCTGGGCCCCAGAAGCTCTAGGTTTTCAAGAAGAATGTTAGTTGTCAGGTGCATTCTGCACATGACCTCAGGACCCAAGAACTGGCACACAGGTGAGAGAGGAAGATACAACCTTGCCAGGGAGAACTCAGTGCGGGAGACAGAGGCACACACAGTGGAGGAAGAGAGTCTTTTGCTACCAATGGAAGGGAATCTGGAAGACACAGCTAAGTCTCAGGGACTCCCCATGTCTATGGGACCAAAGGGAGCTCTTCATCCACAGGTTCTGTTAGGAGCATCTGGGACCCACAACCAGAAGAGCAACCACCTAGATGAGTGGCCTGGAGGGCTGCGGTCCCTGCGGTCACAGAGGGTCGGACACAACTGAGCAACGCAGCATGCATGCACGCATGCATCAGGAAGAGCCCCGCAACTCTGTCACGGCTGTAGGGCAAGGCCACCCCCCCACACCTCCACAATTCCAGTGGGAAACAGATATTCAACTGGTCAAAACTGAGGAAAGGGACTGGAAATAAGCCAAACCATGTCAGGCTTGCTCTTCATTGAGTTGAGACTCTAAACCATCAAGTGCACATGCACACATAGGAGCCCTAAAGTATATTCCGCTCCAGTTCCTGTTGTTTCACTTGGCGTGAGACCGTGGGCAGTTTCCCCTTTCATTGCTTTACAGTAAACAGAACTTTTAATGACTATGGTTTCTATCAATCATCTTGTAACGTGATAATATGTATTTAACCTTTTTTTCTATTGGACATTCAGGATACAGTTTGTATTTTCAAATTATAGGTTGTCATAATCATCTTTGTACATACATCTATGTCCAATTCCTATTTCAAAGAGGAGACATTATTATCCTTACTTTTTTTCAGATGGGACGATTAATGCTATCCAATTTCAGATGTTAAGTGACTTGCCTTCATCACATGCTAAACCCAAGTCTTCTGAAAATGAATCACTGACTATATTATCAGTAAATGAAAACTCTCCTTTCTGCCTAAAGTAAAACTTGAAAAGCTATCTCATTTTCCCACCCATTTTACTCTCTATTAATAGACTGTGTTATACTACACAATGAGCTATGTTTTATTTATAGAATATATCCATAATATTCTGTATACATCTTAGCTAAATGTATTTTATATCAGCTGGATATTTCATTAGCAAGAGAGAAAGATGGAAAAATTCATGAATTGGAGCTTCAAATATCTGTTTTCAAAACCCATTAGAGAGAGGTAGTTTACCATGACAGTAACTGTTTGTGACCATAAATATATTATAGCACATGGGTCTGAATTTAATCTGAGTTTATCACACAGTAGAAGACAGCAGCAAAGTAGTGATGAAGAATTATGGCCTCACTATTCCTTAAATATGGTTGGAACTATGATCTGCCATTTCCATGCTGTATAAACCTGAATAAATTTTATCTCTGCACCTCTGTTCCTAGTCTATAAATTAGGAATAATCTTAGTACCTACCTCAGAGTTCATGAGAAGATTAAATGAGAAAATTCCTGTAAGTCCCTTTATGTTCTTTCACAACATGATAAATATTGACTGAGGAAAATAATGAAATTAAGTCATATACTGGGTAAACAGTAGTTAGGTTTAGCTTGAAACACAAAACTGATTACAGCAAACACACACAAGCCATTTTTGCTGGAGCTCAACATGGATCATGATATAACTTCATGAAATCAAACACTGTGTAACAGGACCGAGTGAAATCCCAACAAAGGGCTGCACTCAGCACCCCAGTTCAAGCTGAAGCCTCATTACCAAAGCAAACGCTTGCTAGAGAGGAATCTGGAGCTTTCTCCCACTTTTAGGAGGAGGATTATTCTGGCCTCCCAGGTAAACCTGTGGAGGATACCGACTTTCTACAGAAATCTTCACCATGGAAAACAGTACACTTCACGTTTTCTTTAGTTGTGTGACAGATGAGGCGACCCAAAGATCAGCAATGGGGAGGCAGCAGCCTTGTCCAAGGATATAGGATGTGTAAGACTGTGAAGAAATCTGGGCAGATTCAGGAATGTGGAAATCCCTAAGCCTCCCCCTCTGCCTAGCCCACAGGAAAGGGTGAGAGGCAAGAGGCAGGGACAGAGCTTGCCGTGCACTGGACCTCAGAGGTAAGCCTTGTTGGTTTTGGCAATGCCTGTTCCCGTTGTTAGAACATGGCCGGCATGCTGCTGCCAACTCCCTAAAAGAATATAAGGCTTGTAGCACACAAGATGAATGCTCCTTTCCTGCATCACAGGGTGTTATAAATAAAGCTGGAGCTTTTTATATACAATCTAATAGTAAGCTACTCAATGGAAAGCAGAGGAAGGAGACGAAAGAAAGCCTCATTTTGCAGAGAGGAGAAAAAATGGACATCACCATCCATTTGAAACACACTTCAAAATATGTCAAGGAATGTTTGCATACTATGGAGATAGAGAATTAAGCCTACAATCCAACATACAAATTGTATGTGTGTGTGTGTGTATATAAATATTTGTGTGTGTGCACGCATATATATATGTGTGTATATATTTGTGCCTAGTATAATATAGATTAGTAGCAATTTTAAAAAGTATCCTGAGAAGTAACAAACAGCTCTTGGATTTTACCTGTAGGAAGAAGAATATAATTGTGGTGGTAGTTTTAAGGTGAAGATAAGCCATGCTCTAAAGCCTTCGCTTTCTAGAGCAGAAGCATCTCTCCCAGCAGGACGCGGGCCCAGGCCCCCACCTACCTGTGCTGCTGTGGGTACCGGGGCTGGCTGGGGGTGGCGGCGCGGAGCCCTGGGCCGGGGATGAGGGCTGTCCATCACTTAGCTGCTTGACGCGCTTGCGGTGAGACTTGCCATTGTAATGGACCTGGGCCTGGGCTTCAGAGTTCAGCTGGATGTTGCACACCTCACAGAAGGAGAAGAGAATCTTCTTTTTCTCTTTACTCAGCTGGTCCTCAGGCCTGTCATTCTTTATCCCCTTTTCTTCAAAGCCCCTTAGAAAAGTTGCCATATTCATAATTCCATCTTCAGAGTAGTTGTCAGGGCTTAAGGAATACTTCATACCTTAAAAAAGGTACAAATGCTTGTAAAATATATGCCTTCTTCTTTTCTAGGATTATGATTAGCTTTCATGGTATGGTCTAAGCTAAAGTCTCCCAGCTACTCAGGAGTCATGCTTGGGAAAAAATCACCCAAAGTACTTAGCTGAGCAGGCATGATCTGTGCACACGTGCTCCCTCTGTCTGGAGCCTTTTCCACTCTATCCTTGTCTCCTTCTCCCATCACCTCTCAATTCTTTTGCTCTTTTAACTCCTGCCTACTCCAAGACCTTAGCTGGTGCATTACTCTCTCCAGGAAAGTCTTCCCTGGAAATAAGCAGATTCCTGTCTACATGCTGACACAGTGCTAAGTGACCTCCCTGCTTTCAGCACACCTCTCACCCGTGCACTGCATATGTGTGTGTGCACTTATTTGGTTTATGTTTATTTCCCCAACAGGGTGTGAACTCTGGTGGGGGGGAGCATAAACCTCATTTCTGGATATCCCCTGGGCCTAGAACTGCATCTTTCACATAACAGACATTCAAATATCTGTTTAAGGAAAGGATAAAGGATGCTATGAATCCATACTGTCAGAAAGGATATGTGTAGACACATAGAGGTATATATAATACACACACACACCCCTCCACACCTGCCAACAAATATATGCTCTAACTTGGGGAGGAGGTGAACAACAAGGACTAAAACACATTATGTCTGAAACTTACATTGGGTTGTATTCCAAAAGCCCCTTTATAAGTCAGCCAGTGAGAATTTGAACATATCCTCTTATAGATGTAGTGAAGCAAATTGTTTTTAGGTGTCCAGATTAGCCCATAAACATCAATTTAGTCTTTGATGAGGCTGAAATGCAGAACATCTGAAATACAAAATAACAGAAATACTATATATGGTAATCCAATAATTGAAAGATAGAAAAAAGTAAAACAGACTAAGATAAAATTTGGTTTAAGTGCTGATTTTCATTTATCTAGATAAGGATAAAATGATCAATTATAATCTAAGTAAAGATTTTAAAGGAGCCTTTCTAGTACCTGAATAACCTTGGGCAATGAAGATAGCCTTGGCTTTATATTTTGTTCAGTTCCACTATAACATATGCAACTTTTTCATTTTAGTTTATACCAATATTACCAGTGTTTTGTACATATCGGTGTGACTATTACAACGTTTTTGATTCTCAACTAGAATAAAGAAAAACATACTCTCATAGAGGAAAGAGGAGAACAATATTCAAAGAATATGTGGGCAAAAACTAAAGAAAAGGGGTATCCATGAAAAAGATTTGGCTGAGGTGGACCTTAGCGTGCTATGAGGGATGAAGTGCTCACACAAAGGGAGGACCGGAGCTTGTGAGGGGGTCTGCCTGTGGGAAAAACTCCAAGGTACTGGTCGGAGCAGCTGATTGATCCACTTTGGCTTGCAGCTCTAGGGAGAAGCAACTAAAGACTAGTCCAAATGTGGAGCATTCACCAGTTAAATGTTTAAAATTCAGGAAATAAAATACAGTACAGGGTATGACCATAGAGATATTGATTTCATGTATACAGTATGCCAAGAACTTTTTTTTTTTCATTTATTTTTATTAGTTGGAGGCTAATTACAACATTGCAGTGGTTTTTGTCATACATTGAAATGAATTAGCCATGGATTTACATGCATTCCCCATCCCGATCCCCCCTCCCACCTCCCTCTCCGCCCCATCCCTCTGGGTCTTCCCAGTGCACCAAGTCTGAGCACTTGTCTCATGCATCCAACCTGGGCTGGTGATCTGTTTCACCCTAGATATACATGTTTCAATGCTGTTCTCTTGAAACATCCCACCCTCGCCTTCTCCCACAGAGTCTACAAGTCTGTTCTATACATCTGAGTCTCTTTTTCTTTTTTTGCATATAGGGTTATCGTTCATCTTTCTAAATTCCATATATATGTGTTAGTATACTGTAATGGTCTTTATCTTTCTGGCTTACTTCCCTCTGTATAATGGGCTCCAGTTTCATCCATCTCATTAGAACTGATTCAAATGAATTCTTTTTAATGGCTGAGTAATATTCCATGGTGTATATGTACCACAGCTTCCTCATCCATTCGTCTGCTGATGGGCATCTAGGTTGCTTCCATGTCCTGCCTATTATAAACAGTGCTGCGATGAACATTGGGGTGCAGGTGTCTCTTTCAGATCTGGTTTCCTCAGTGTGTATGCCTAGAAGTGGTGTTGCTGGGTCATATGGCAGTTCTATTTCCAGCTTTTTAAGAAATCTCCACACTGTTTTCCATAGTGGCTGTACTAGTTTGCGTTCCCACCAACAGTGTAAGAGGGTTCCCTTTTCTCCACACCCTCTCCAGCATTTATTGCTTGTAGACTTTTGGATAGCAGCCATCCTGACTGGCGTGTAATGGTACCTCATTGTGGTTTTGATTTGCATTTCTCTGATAATGAGTGATGTTGAGCATCTTTTCATGTGTTTTTTTTGCCATCCGTATGTCTTCCTTGGAGAAATGTCTGTTTAGTTCTTTGGCCCATTTTTTGATTGGGTCATTTATTTTTCTGGAATTGAGCTGCAGGAGTTGCTTGTATATTTTTGAGATTAATCCTTTGTCTGTTGCTTCATTTGCTATTATTTTCTCCCAATCTGAGGGCTGTCTTTTCACCTTGCTTATAGTTTCCTTTGTTGTGCAAAAGCTTTTAAGTTTCATTAGGTCCCATTTGTTTATTTTTGCTTTTGTTTCTAAAATTCTGGGATGTGGGTCATAGAGGATCCTGCTGTGATTTATGTCGGAGAGTGTTTTGCCTATGTTCTCCTCTAGGAGTTTTATAGTTTCTGGTCTTACATTTAGATCTTTAATCCATTTTGAGTTTATTTTTGTGTATGCCAAGAACTTCTTTACACTAACACACCTTTTTGTAAACTGCCATATGCATTATACCATATGCCAAACCATAACCTTCACAGAACGGTTAGAATGTTACTAATTTTGATGTGTCAAACCTCTTTGGTTCATAAATACTTTACCCTGATGCCACCAATTTAAGGAACTCTTTATTTCACAAAACTTTCCAAATGAATCTATTCCTTTCAGCTCTTCAAATAGACCATTTTCTTCCTTAATACCTATTCAGACTACACAAAAATCAGGTTTAAGCAATTCCTATAGCTGAGTTACAAAAAATAATTCCGTTACAATTGAAATGTGATTTGAACTGCCCATATATCAATATTTTTTGCTTTAGTCCCTAATCGAAAATGCTATGGTGTCACAAAGCCCTTTTCCACATAAACCTTTAGAAAATATTAGTGCCATATAAAAGTTATGTTCAAACATATTACCTTGTACCCTGTCCTAAAATATTAAAATTTATCATAAAAATTACTGAACTAAATGATAAAAAGAATAATTTTGAAAATAAACTTGTCATTAAAATATTATGCCTTGCTTAGAAAACTAATCTATTGTAAAACATAAGGAAAACCAATAACTTTTAACTTTGCAAAGTGAGGTCAGGCATCATCTCATTGAATCATTGAAATCTAAATAAGTGTTAAATTTCACCTCAAGCAATGAATATCCTTGACTCAGCTGAGTAATGATGACACTTCCATCTGAAAGTTTAACTTATCTGGAGGTCTGTGGACTTGCCCATGTTCCTAATTAATGCATGGTATTTCACAGAAACAGAATTTACATCATATGCTCCCTTTTAAATTTGAAATCTAAAAAATGACTTCTTTGTATTATAAAAGATATAGTCAGCTTACCAATGCTTTCTGATTGTCATTTGTCCTAGAAATAAGTTGTGCTTTAGATTTATTTACCTGTTTTAAGTGGTAAGAAAGGTACCACTACATTTTAAAGATACCTGAAATAAATGGCTATTCGAGAATTCCCTTGCAACCTCTGCATAATGCCAGAACCTTCATAACTTTGATCCCTATTTTAGTTTCTCATTTACAGATGATCTCCCAAGCCTCCAACACCGTGTCTGTGGGCCACTCTAGGGAGGACACAATGCCTGCGGGTAGGGTGTGCATTCTGTCCACCAAGTCCCAACTGATTAATCCTGTGCTGGCTTTACCACACTTCTTCCCTCTTAGGAGAAAAATAAGTTCAGCCCCTGTTAACAGCCACCTGCAATCAGAATATATTTAATTCCAGAGGTTTGGGGAAAAGGATCTAGAGGTAGTGTTGAAGCAAGATATCAGAATCTCAGCATCTACTTTTCGTCTGAGATGATACAATTTCTAAGCTACGTGTGGTGATAAACATTTATAATGTCATCCTTTTGGCTAAGGGGAAGGTAATAGTTTAAGAAAAGAAAAAAATCCCACCTTCCATTTTAAAGTGTTTTTATCAGACTATCTTAAATTACATGCTTCACTTGCATAGGGGAGAAGGACCTTGAGAGGTATCCAATTTTAAACAGAGCTGTGGGCAGTACCCTGGATAGTTTGGTGGGCTTACCTGCAGGTAAGAGAGGTCAAGACAATCAGACCAAGTATTCTATGTCTTTTTTGTACTATTTTATCAGGTTAGATGGCCAAGTATTTAACATCCATGACAGAATAAGATATTTTGGTACAGGTCAAGGAATAAGAAAGTTGTTCCTTGAGTTACTGCTTTGGGGGAAAAGACAGAATGGGACAGTCGTGTACATGCTCAGTTGCTTTAGTCATGTCCAACTCTTTGCAGCCTTATGGACTGTGGCCCACCAGGCTCCTCTGTCCATGGAATTTCCAAGCAAGAACACTGGAGTGGGTTGTCCTTTCTTCCTCCAGGGGATCTTCTCAACCCAGGGATCAAACCCATGCCTCCCGCGTCTCCTGCACTGCAGGCGGATTCTTTGCCGCTCAGCCAGCGTGGAAGCCCTGATGGGAAAGTCAGTAACTATCTAAAAGTGAAGTGAAGTGAAGTCGCTCAGTCGTGTCTGAGTCTTTGCGACCCCATGGATTGTAGCCTGCCAGGCTCCTCCGTCCATGGCATTTTCCAGAATACTGGAGTG